AAAGATTTGTCACTGATATTGGTTCAATAAAACACTGATTGGCCAGTAGCCAGGCAGGAAGTATAAACAGGGCAACCAGATTAGGAGAATTCTGGGAAGAGGAAAGACAGAGATGCAGTCACCAGCAAGACACAGAGGAGGCAAGATAAAACTGCCTTATTAAGAAAAGGTATTAAGGGCTGGAGGGATGGCTCAGTGGTTGGGAGCGTTGCCTGCTCTTCCGGAGGTCCTGGGTTCGATTCCCGGCAACCACATGGTGGCTCACAACCATCTGTGGGGAGGTCTGGCGCCCTCTTCTGGCCTTCAGGCATGCAGGTGGAATGTTGTATACATAATAAATAAATAAATATTAAAAAAAAGAAAAGGTATTAAGCCACGTGGCTAAACATAGATAAGAATTATGAACTAATTTAAGTTGTAAGAGCTAGTTAGTAATAAGCCTGAGCAATAGGTCAACCAGTTTATAATTGATATAAGACTCTGTGTATTTATTTGGGACTGAACAGCTGCAGGACTGGGCAAGACAGAAACTTCCACTAACAAAATGCTTTACTTTAAGTCTGGAAATGTTTTGCCTTCTTGTGTGTCTGTTCACCATGTGCATTCTTGGTGCCTGGTGGTGGTCTTAGAGGCTGTCAGACACTCTGAAACTGGAATTATGGATAGTTGTGATTACCATGTGGGTGCTGGGAACTGAACCTGTTCAGCCCCTGGAGATGAGATTTTAAATTTTTAGGTGCCTAGAATCATTGGTGTAGGGCAGATCAATTGTCTGTTATAAAACTTCACCAAGGAGTCTATTGTGAGAATGTTAATTCAAATACTACGTCTCTGCTTATAATTAATGGTAGTTGACATATATTGAGTACATACTCTATAATAAACTAAGCTAAGAGCTTCCTGTATACTTTCTCATTTAACCTTTACAAATCTATGAATTGGGTACCATGATTCTGCCCATTTTACATATTTAGAGGGTGAGATGATGAAATTTAATTATGATAAATCACTGTTAACAGGAAGGACAATGGTTCAATATCATGGTATATTATTTGTGTTTTAATAAATAATGCTTGTCTCAAGATCAGAGTGCGAAACTAGCCACATTAGTCAGCCATATAGGCCAGCAGTGGTGGCACTCACCTTTAATCCCAGCAGCCACACTAGCTAGCCATAGAGGTCTGGTGGTGGCGGTGTATGCCTTTAATCCCAGCACTAGAGAGGAATGTAAGATGGGAGGAGACAGGAGCTCAGGGTCTCAGTCTGCAGTCTGAGCTTTGGTGGAGAGCATTGCAGTCTGCAGTCACATTGAGGACAGGATCGTCCCTTTGTCTGAACCCTAGAAGAGATAAGAACTCTCTAATGACTTGGCTGCTTTGCTTTTCTGATCTTCAGCTTGAACCCCAATATCTGTCTCTGGGTTTTTATTATTCGTGCTATACAGTTCAAACCCAGAAAATAGCCCTAAGGCCCCTTCATTCAGCTACTCTTTTTTTTTTTAAACTGGGAAACACTTCAGCATCTAAACTTAACAATATAAACTATTTTTAAAAACTATAAAGTTTAAATAAGGCTTACAAAGCTAGGCACAAGCACTTTTAGCTAGACTTAATTAATAAACTTTCTCTGAAGCCACCGAACTCTTACTCAGAACTGAATTCTTCTTAGACCATGTCCATTCGACAGATAACGGGAATGTGTTAAGTGACCTTGCCATTTGCTTTCTGCCTTACGGATTCTCTCAATGATGTCACCATCTGGCTCTATAGCTGCATGGTAAATTGATTTTTTTTTTAGGTTATTAATGTTCATTGTCAAGGTGACATAGCATACTGGCTTTAGATATGGGCTTGGGACACAGTCTTCTGTTTGAAACCTAATCTTGCCACTTGCAGGCTAGGACTCAACAAACACCAGCTAGTCTGTTAGCATTTTAATCTGCTGGAATGGACAGTCTCAACTATGACTCAGCTTTGTGGTCTGTCTTCATGAAGCAGAGGCAAAGAGTCATCAGGCAGGATGGAAAGCACCCACGGAGACATCTCAGCCCATTAGGTGTCGTTAAATAACAGCAGCCACAACTCAACTGTCATTACCACTACCATAATAGCAATAGCTGATGTTTATTGGGCCCTTGCCATATGCTATTTTAAGTGCTTCTTTGTGAGTTAATGTAATCATTTTATAATTCTGTTAAGCAGGTGATATTACCTGCACAGTGTAGGGATAAAGTTACATGTATAACACGTGGCAGAGGCTTTTTTTTTCAGCCCTGAGGATCAAACCCAGGGCCATATGCTAAGCAAGTGTTCTGCCATTGAGTCCCAGCTCCAGCCCTTGGCTTTTTGAGACAAGGTCCCATGCAGGCTGGCCTTAAACTCATGACCTTCTGCCTCAGAAATGGTTGGGTTACAGGGGTGCACTATACCTGTAGATTTTTGACGCAAGCAAGTCTAACTTCATGACTGACACTCTGTTTAAACTTATTTTTATTTTTGAGAAGGGTCTTGTTAAGTTCTAGCCTTGAACTTGCTATGTAGAACAGGTTCCTAGAGCTCACAGAGATTCCTTGCCTCTGCCTGCTGAGTGCTAGGACTGAAGACGTGTGCCACCACTCCTCAATATACTCTTCCTTCTGAAAAGTAGGACATCGGAGGAAACAATCTGCATTTCTTTAGATTTTCATGTTACTGATGTGCCGCCAATAGAAGTTGTGCTTTGGTGGATGTCTTCAAGAACAGTTGTAGGGCCGGGCGGTGGTGGCCCATGCCTTTAATCCCAGCACTCAGAAGACAGAAGCAGGTGGATCTCTGTGAGTTTGAGGCCAGGCTGGTCTACAAGAGCTAGTGCCAGGACAGGCTCCAAAGCTACAGAGAAACCCTGTCTCGAAAAACCAAAAAAAAGAAAGAAAGAAAGGAAGGAAGGAAGGAAGAAAGGAAGGAAGAAAGGAAGAAAAAAAGAAAGGGCCTTAAAGATACCCATATCACTATTTACTGTTAACACAAAATAAAGCACATTGCAATGCCAGGAGTATTGTGGACATATTTAGGAATACAGTACATATTAATACTTCACCTATTCACATATTGTCCTTACATTTCCTGTCTGGGTGAGAAAGACCCACTCTTCCCCTAAAAGCAGTTTAAATAACTCCCCTTAAATAGCATCTTGAGTAACTTTACAGTGTATCTTTCTAGAAAGAACCTGTAAATTTGAGTCTGACAATACTAATAATCAAGGTTTGTTGCTCAAATGTGTGTGTGTGTGTGTGTGGGGAGGTTGGCCAGGAAACCCCAGGGATTAGCCTGTCTCCGCCTTCCCCGTGAGCCCCCATAGCCACCACCATAACCACAACCACCGCTGCTTTTTACACAGGGGTTGCAGAGATGGTTCAGTTGGTAAAGTTCTTGCCAAGCATCTTTCGTGGTAAGTCATTTCCCCAGTCACCAGCTGTTGCTTTTTAATGAAAGGAGGAATAGAAGACCCAGAGAGCCTTAGTTTCTCTGAAGTGGTTAAATGAGCCTGAGGAACCTTAAGATTTTTCTCAGTCAAATTTTGAAAAAGAAAATGTGAGGGGAGTTAGAATTTCTTTCATTCCAAAGTATTAAAATGAGAGAACATTGGGACATTTCAGCTAAAATTTTGCAGTGAAAGTCTCTTGCATCTTTGATTCCCTCCAGACTCCCGGATGTGAGTCTTCAAGAGCATCACATGAGCAGAGATCTACACGCATGAAAGTGTCATTAATTTTTAACTGGTAATGTGAGAAGAGAGGGCTCAGTACTGGCCAGCTGCATTTTGAACTCAACTACAGGCATGAATTATGTATACACGGAAAATTATTTGAAACAACTTTAGTCTATCATACCCTTGCTTTCTGTTAGAATTTTAGATAGAGTATATCATAATTATAACCAATTATTTTGTTTCAATTACCATTTCTAACTGATCCAAGCATTAACACATGATCCCTGGTGGTAGTCTGTGTCTTAATTTTGTTAAGAAGCCAGTGATTTGCTCTTAATGAACTTTGATCAGTACTATTTAATTAGATTAAAGTGGAGTCCCCTTTGAAGTGTCTTAGAGGACGCTTTCTGGACGGATCTAGCCAGTTGGATGCGTGGGTCAAAAGGGTTGCTTTGTTTTTGTGAGACAGGGTTTCTCTGTGTAGCCCTGGCTGTCCTGGAACTCATTCTGTAGACCAGGCTGGTCTTGAACTAACAGAGATCCACCTGCCTCCACTTCCCGAGTGTTAGGATTAAAGGCCTGCTCCATCACCGCCCTGAAAAGGACTGTTTTTTAGCCAGGGACTGCTACACTTTGGGAGCAGGAAGGAAATTAGAAGGATAATGACACAATTCACGACTTTACTTTTAATATAAAGGAAATATTATACTCTTTTTTCATCTACCCTAGAATTTGCTTGGATGATAGTGATGTAAAAACCTTTTACGAATCCCCTCTACTTTGACAATTCTGACATTTATTTACTTATTTTTGATACAGAATCTCACATAGCCCAGCAGGCTACGAACTGAGGATGACCTTGAACTTCCGATCTTCCCTCTTCCGCCTGCGACGTGTTGAGATTACTGGCGTTAGCCACAGGTCTTGATGGAGAATTTCAAAGCTTTTGTAAACGAAATTAGAGAGAACACTTTGATATTTTCGTTCAGGTTACCTGGCATAAGTGGGAAAGAGAGAATGAAGATAACAATCTATATGCAATCTAGACGCCGAAGTGGACCTGAAGTGTAGATAAGAATCATTAGCAGGAATAATTTGATGGTTTTAATTAACGCCGGTTGGAGGAGGATCGAGTCTAGCACATCAATCTCCCAGAAAAGACTTTGAGGAACACACCCAATTTAACTGCCCGCCTTTAGGGAACCAGCCTCAGCTATAACTGAGGGCGCCCGCCGATGACGTATCCGGGCCCGGAGGCGATTGGCTCCCCGAGATGGGCGTCGACAGCCAACCGGGCCCAGAACCCTCGCTTATCATCGCGATAGCTGCCACCTCAGTGCGGGATGGCCGCGGAGCCGGGTGGAAGTGCTCCGCGGCTCCGGGAGCCGGCTCTCGGGGCCGAGACATGGCCTGGGGCCCCTGCCAGCTAAGCCGGCCTCACCCGGACAGTGTCGCCATGCCCAAGAGAGGAAAGCGGCTCAAGTTCCGGGCCCACGACGCCTGCTCGGGCCGAGGTGGGCGAGGGGCGGGGTCGGGCGGCAGAGGGGGTTGGGCGGCAGAGGGGGTTGGGCAGCAGGGTCGGACGGGCGAAGACTGCACCGGGAGGGGCTGGGGAGACTGCCCGAAGTCTGAGGTGGCCTTGGCGCTGTGCTCTGTTTCAGTGACCGTGGCGGATTATGCCAACTCGGATCCGGCGGTGGTGAGGTCTGGACGGGTCAAGAAAGCCGTGGCCAACGCTGTTCAGCAGGAAGGTAGGTTTTCGCGGATCTTTTTGGTCCCACGCCCTTAAGACAACATTAGGTGTTCTATTTTCCTTGAATTTTGCCCCGGTGTTTTTCCTGCAGCCCTTTGGGCATCTGGCCATGAGCGTGTTTGCTCTTTTCACTGTTTACTTTCTCGTGTGGAGGGTGGGATGGGTGTGTGTAGCCCTGATAGGCAGGTTCTAGAGCTGAGATATTTTATTTCCTCTTTGAATTAAAAGACAACTTTGTGACCAGGTAGGGTAGGCATTTCTTTAATCTCAGCATTGGGGAGACAGGTGAATCTCTGTGAGTTCAAGGCTAGCCTGGTTTACACAGCAGTCTATATAGTGAGATCCAGTCTCAAAAAAAAAAAAAAAAAAAAAAAACAGCCAACCCAAAACCAACAGAATTCCACACAACATTGTGTACTCATTCTTCTTTACCAGTTTTTGTAATTTATGTATATTTTACCATGCATGCAATTGACATTCATTACTTTGGCATATTATTTTCTTTTTGCCATGTTCGTCTAGCTTTCAAGATTTTTGCAGTTGGATTTCTGTGACATAAAACACAAATCTCCAGTGCAGGGGCAGGCCTGAATTGGATCCCGTTTCTCTTAAGCCATTGCTCCTCAGAGTGAGGTGCATAGACTTGACCTTTTGCTTTTATTGTCTGCAGGGCTCTCAGTGTGTGAATTTTGCACCCTCCCCCGCCGAAGTGCCCCCAACTTTAGAGACAGTTTGCCGATTGCTTTCCATTTTTTTTATTATTAAAATGCTACAATTTTGCTTCAGCTTTTGTTAAAGTCCTCAGCACCCTTCCTCATTGCCTCCCTCCTCCGTGGTTGCTGATGCATTAGCTGAGTGTTTTTGGATGGGACCAGTGCATTTAATTCTTTCCTTTCTTTCTCCTAGTAAAATCTCTTTGTGGCTTGGAAGCCTCCCAGGTTCCTGCAGAGGAGGCTCTTTCCGGGGTGGGTGAGCCGTGTGACATCATGGACAGCAGTGATGAGATGGACATTCAGGGGGAAAGCACTCATGAAAGATCAGTCTCCAGAAAAAAGAAAAGCAAGAGACACAAAGGTATGGGCTTGCTTTCCAGAGGATTCTGAGTTTTGTCTGTGGTGTCTGATGCTGCCTTTTTTCAATGTAAGGGGAGCTCTAAGAGATGATAGTGGTATTGTACCAGTTATCGTCAGTGATAACCCTCTTTTTCAGGATTCTAAAATTGATAGCAACGTTTATAATACTTTATTCTTTCTTAATTCTTCTAGGGAAATACACACAACACATACATATGCATATACATACATATATATACATATTTCATTATTTATGTATACATATGTGTGTATATGTGTACATTCTTCAGAAATTTTCCAACTTATGCTTTTAAAGGATTTTTTGGATACTTAATATGAGTGTTTATCTACATGTATATGTATCATATATTTTAAAGTATATAATTGAGTAGTTTTACTATTTTCTCAATTGTTCTGCTGTCTTTGAACTAAGTATAGAACATTTCCATCACTCCAGAAAGAATTGTCAAGGCTTTAGCGTCAGTGCTCTCTGCCCCCTCTAATTTCATTCTCTGTAGATGTACCTGCTGTGGACATTCCATACACATGGAATGATAACATCTTCCTTTAGGTCTGATTTCTTTCACATGGCTTAATTTGTTTAAGGTTCCCAAGTGCTGGGGTTAAAGGTATGTGCTACCACTGCCAGGCCTAATGGTTTATTTTTACTGCCTTATGTTTGACTGTTTTGCATTATGAAGCAACTTTAGGTGAAGTTTTGGGTGGGTAAATACTTTCATTTCTAAATCGTAGTAAGTAGTTGTGCTGTTTTGGTATCTCTAGCAGCAGCATGCCAACTTTGTATTAGCTCCACATTCTTGCCAACACTTACTATTTTACTTGTGAAATTATAATGGATATAAAGTAGTATCTTTAAAAAAGTAGTATCTTTATTTTTATTTACATGTATGTGTTTTAGTGAATATTTGTTGTGTATATATGCCTACAGAGACAAGAATAGGGAGTTAGATTCCTTGTCTCTAAATTTATAGGTAGTCGTGAGTGGCCTGATGAGCATTGGGAACCAAATGGGAAGAGCAGCAAGTGTTCTTAACTGCTGAGCTATCTCTCCAGCCCCTTCATTTAAAAAAAAAAAAATGTATGTGTGTACATCTGTGTCTGTATTCTGGCCCGTGGAGGCCAGAATGGGTGTCAGGTTCCTTGGAGCTGGGATTTCAGGCATTTGTCAGTTGCTTGATGTGATAATATCATACTGGTCCCCTGAAAGAGCAGTGTCCTGATTGAGCTTTTGTTGGTTTGTTTTTGTTAGTCTGACCTAAGGTAGAGTTATTTGGCAAGAGAGAACCCCAGTTGAGAAAATGTCCCTACCTGATTGCCCCGTGGGCAAGCCTGTGGTGTGTTTTCTTGATTGATGATTAACATGGGAAGGCCTGACCCACTGTGCGTGGTGCCACCTGTCGAATGGTCCTGGCTGATGAAATGGTTCAGCTGGGAAAGGTACTTGTCCCATGCTATCTGAGTTTAGTCCCTGGGACCACATCAGGAAGGAGAGAAGTGACACCCGCAGGTTGTCTCTGATCTCAACACATATGCTGTGACACTTGTGCCCTCACACATACACACACTCTGTGGCATAAATAATTAAAATGTGATTTAAAAAGCCAGGCTCAGCAAGCCATGAGAAGCAAACCACTGAATAGCTCTTCTTCATGGCTTCTGTTTCTCTTCATGCCCTGACTTCCATTAGTGGCGAGCTGTGGCCTGAGAGCTGTAAGAAGAAACGAGCCAGTTCTCTTCATGCTGCTTTGGTCAGGGTGTTTACCACAGCGATGGAAATCCCGAGATGAGCAATAAGTACTCTTCATCTGTGAGCTAGCTCTTCAGCTCTCTTCAGCTCCAGTATCTGTTTCTCTTTCTTTCTTTCTTTCTTTCTTTTTTTTTTTTTTTTGCACAGGGTTTCTCTGTGGCTTGGCAGCCTGTCCTGGAACTAGCTATTGTAGACCAGGCTGGCCTCGAACTCACAGAGATCTGCCTGCCTCTGCCTCCCAACTGCCTGGCTAAAACCCTTTTCTTAAATGTACAAGCTACGAGAGAATTGGAATGAATACCTTTAGGTATAAGTGTATAGTAAAACACAGAATATTATTCTTTTTTCTGTTTCAGAAGACCTGGATGGGGCTGGAGAAGAGTATCCTATGGATATTTGGCTGTTGCTGGCTTCCTATATCCGTCCTGAGGACATTGTGAATTTTTCCCTGATTTGTAAGAATGCTTGGACTGTCACTTGCACTGCTGCCTTTTGGACCAGGTTGTACCGAAGGTGCGACCACAGACTGCCAGTGTGTTCTCTATAGCTGATTTCATTGCTATTTGTGATTTGAAGCTGTGCCCAAGATGATGGGCTCTTTTCACTTTCTTTATCCTATGCCTTGGCATGACCCTAGCTTTGGACTTCTTGATTTCTAAGTCTTATGTTACTGATTCATGCAAGTGTTTGTCTTTCCAATGGCTACCACCATACCCTGGCTAGTGTCTGTTATTTTTTGCAAGCAGTATTACTTCAGGCCCAGAAAGAACTTAGGTTTTCCCTCAGAGGTTTATCTTATTACATGGTCAGTGAAAGTGCTGGATTTTAATGTGGGCTACAGAGCTTAGGGACCTTTCTGAACTGTTTAGCTGTGGTGGGAACTGGTGCTAAGTTATCAGGGAATAGAGAACTTGCTGAGATGTCTGACAGGGAGCCCAGTGGCTCTTCTCCAGGACAAGCTCTCTTTGAGCAACTAAAGTATATTACACTGTCTTCAGTTCAGAGGCTTGTAATTTTGAAGAGCTTGAAATAGTCCAAATATAACCACAAAAGGTGAGAACTACAGGGTCACAGATGAAGAAACAAAAGTCATCAATAATTTAAGGAAATGGTTGGTGATGATGATGGTATTTGTGAGAACTCGGCAAGCTAGTACCTAGATGGTATTTGTGAGAACTCGGCAAGCTAGTACCTAGCAGTGGAGTAGAACAGAGTTCCCATGGAAACCAGCGTCCCGGGGGACTGAGCAGGAGAGACAGGTTACATATTGGTAGGAGTCATGTGTCATGTTTCAGGCACTACTCGCTGGATGCTTCTCTGCCCTTGCGGCTGCGCCCAGAGTCCATGGAGAAGCTGCGCTGTCTCCGGGCATGTGTGATCCGATCTCTGTACCATATGTATGAACCATTTGCTGCTCGAATCTCCAAGAATCCAGCCATTCCGGAAAGCACTCCCAGCACACTGAAGAATTCCAAAGTAGGTGAAAATTGCTGTTGGGGTTTGGCTAATGGACTCTTGTGTGGTGGTCCTGTTCTATGGCTTGTTTGTAGCTTCCTGATGGGGAGGGCTGTTGGTCCTAACCCATTAGGGGTTAGTGTAAACTTGGAGGGTTCAGAAGTTTCGTTTCTCCTAACGCATCTCTGCTGTCCTGGGCTGGTTTATGGTGTCTTTAGAGCTTCCTTGTGCTTTTAGAGTATTTCTTAGTCTCGTTAGCTTATTTTTATGCACAGCACATTTGACCAGTAGATAGGTAGGTTTTGATAGTTTGGCTAGGAAGAGTAGAATTTGAATGGTAGGTGTCTACTACAGTTTTCCCAGAGTGACACAGATAGCATGAGGGACTCAACTGATTTTCTGTTTTTAATATAACCTTGGCATCTGAGATTCCATGTCATTCTTGACTTCCTTTAAGGATTCTGGTATAGACATCTTTACCTGGTAAGCCCCATGCCGGGTGCTTGCCAGGCTCTGTGGTAATTTGTTTCAGAGACTATAAGGTACTCCAATTCGTAGTTCTTAGGATTCCAAAATCTTCTGTTTCAGTCTGCTTTTATCTTAGGATACTCTGCATAGTTTATATTCATACACTGTATTCAAGTTTCTGGTTTTCTGAATAATAAGTAGGTCTATTAGTTCTTGGCCCATTTTCTCCTCCTTTTACCAAGCTAGATGAGTGTAGTCTTTATGGTTATTTAGGTCAGTTGATGTCTTAGCCAGCTGATATTGTATAATTTTCTTATCTTTTTAATTTTTTGGTAATTATCCCGACTCTGTTCTGCCCACTCTAGTTCATCGCATAGCACTTCCTGTTCTCTTGTACTTTGCCTTTATGCTCATAGACATCGTATAATTCTCCTCTCCTAGTTGAGCTCTAAGCGTCTAATTCCAGGAATTAAAGCGTTTTATTGATTTCAGGGTAACCAAGATCCCCCCTGCAACACTTACCAATGGAGGTTTTCAGGCCCTTTGACCTAACTCTTTAGTTATAATGCTAGCTGATGGATTTAGGGCAGGAGTGTGCTGCGTGAGTAGAGTGTTACCCTGAAACGGCTTCTACTGTAATGTGAGTGGACAGTTCCCACCTCACATTTACAGTGTCTTCCTCCCTATCCGATTACCAAGGAAGGTGGTAATCATTACAGAGTTAACCATGCCAGGTGTGGCGCAGGGAAGCATTGATTGGGCAAACTCCTCATGCTTGACACATCTTAGCGGCTCCAGTGCACAATGCAAGGGCTACTGCTTAAATTCTAAAGTATCCATAGCTTTATATTCTTATTACTGTGTCTTTTTTTTTTTTAAGTAGATTATGAAGCCAAAGTGGATTGAAAATTAGCTTTTAATTCAGGTAGTGAGCACAGGCTACCTGGCCGCCTCTTTTTATATTATTAAAGATCCTCTGAAGAGGACATGGTCCTGGAGAGTGGCAGGTGCCTGGTGTATGGCCTCACCACTTACATGCCTGTAATTGCATGGCACTCAGTTGCCACCATGCCTAAAGAAAGTTGTCCCGTTTCCCGGACACCAGCTTTTTGTATTTGATCCCCTTTCTCTCTTTTCAGTAGCATAGCTTGTGTGGGACACTGGAGCCGTTGTGATGGCAGCAGAAGTGTTTTCCCCTAAAAGCCAAGCTCATTATTTTTGATGGAGCAACAGGACGTACAGGGCATGTCTGAAGGCAGGACAGCTGGCACGGCGGACGACCCACCCCTTGTCCCCTGGGAGGTACTTCACTTCTTGTGCTTAACCCTAGCTATAGTCTGACTTCACTGAGGGGCTTGCTTTGGACTGAATTCAGCTTAGCTCATTGGTTTCCATAACAGCTGTCTGTTCCCAGAAGGTCCTGAGTGGCTTGTTCCTGTCACAGGGCTAGCCCTCCTTGCCTGCTTTGTGGCCTTGTTAACCATCTTGCCTGGTGGCTACTTGACTGCCTTTATATTTTAATGTAGAGCAGTGGCTGCTAAATCAGAGAAAATGCCCCACACTGTAGTTACATATTTTTGTCTTTAAAGATGAGAACATAGGGGTTGATCTTAGTAAGCTTCTGAGGTTGACTTGTATTGGTCCCTCTTCTTCCTGAATAGCATTGTGACTGTCTTCATGGTGCACCAGTGGCAAGTGTGGGTCTGTGGGTACCAAAGTAAATCCTCTGCATCGCAACTGTAGTTGGCTTTAGAGCTGTCAGAGATTTTTTTGCTTATTAATTTTGTTACTTAATAATGCATTTTAATGTTATTCCCATAGTTTATTTTTGCTCTTCTTACAGTGCTTACTTTTCTGGTGCAGAAAGATTGTTGGAAACAGACAAGAACCAATGTGGGAGTTCAACTTCAAGTTCAAAAAACAGGCATGTTTCCTTTTTGTCTCTATGTTTTTATAAATTTAATTTTATTTTTTTTAAGATTGTTCATTTGGAGAGCTGGATGGCTTGGAGGGTAAGAGTGCTGCATTTGTAAAGGACCCAAGTTCTAGAGCATCTAGTACCCTCTTCTGGCCTTTTAGGGGACCACACTTAGATGTTCAAGCCACTATCTACACCCACCTTAAAACTATCCTGAAACTTGGCCGTGTATATCAGACTGGCCTCAAACTAACAGGAATCTGCCTGCATCTGTCTCTCAAGTGCTTGGATTAAAGGCGTGCACCATATCTGCCTTGTCTATCGAGTGTTTGCGTGCATGTATCCATGTGCGCCATGTGTATGCCTTGTACTTGTGTTGGCCAGAAGAAGGTGTTAGATTCCCTGGAATTGGAGTTATGGACCGTTAGCCACTATATGGGTGCTGGGAACCAAACCTGAGTCCTCTTCAACAATAGCGAGGGCTCTTAACTGCTGAGGCATCTCTACGTCCTTCAGATATCTTATTTAATGAGTTTCCCTATGTCTTAGTCCTTTTGTGCTGCCGTAACAAAGTACTAGAGATTGGGTTATTTATAAAGAACAGAAATTAGTTTTCTCATGGTTCTGGGGGCCAGGAAATCCAAGATCAAGGTACTTGCATGTTCTGTGGATAAGGCTCTAGTCCTTCTGTTTTCAGGATGGTGCCTTACTGAACCCTGTGTATTCTCGCATAGCTGTGGTGGAGAGCTAAAAGGGGCTGAATCCCTTTTAAAGACCCTTACCCCCACCCTTTTGAGAAAAGGTTTCTCTGTGTGGCTCTGACTGTCCTAGAACTCACTCTGTAGATCAGACTGGCCTCAAACTCACAGAAATCTGCCTGCATCTGCCTCCTGAGTGCTGGGATTAAAGGTGTGCGCCACCACCACCTGGTTTAAAGCCCCTATTTTAATAAGAGTCTTCATCCCATTCACGAGAGAGGAGTTCTTATGATATTATCGCCTTCTAAAGGCTTCATCTCTTATGTGACAGGTTAAATTTCAAAATAAATTTTGGAGGGAGTTATTTTATTTCCTTTTTTTTTTTTTGAGACAGGGTTTTTCTGTGTAACCTTGACTGTCCTGGAACTCACTTTGTAGATAAGGCTGTTCTCAAATCAGAGATCCACTTGCCTCTATTCCTGAATCCACTTGCCTCTATTCCTGAATACGGGGATTAAAGTGTTTGCCACTGTACCTGGCAGGAACTATTTTATATTGGAGGAAAAAAAAATGAGCAACTTTAGGTTTTTATCCAAGATAAGCCTTGACAGATTTCCAGATCAGAGAACAGAGCTATAAAAGGTGTGTGTGTGTGTGTGTGTGTGTGTGTGTGTGTGTGGTGTCTGTGTATATGTATGTCTGGTGTCTGTTTATATGTGTGTCTGGTGTCTATGTATATATATGTCTGGTGTCTGTGTGTATATGTGTGTGTATCTGGTGTGTATGTGTGTGTGTGTCTGGTGTGTATGTGTGTGTGTGTGTGTGTCTGGTATCTGTGTGTGTGTGTGTCTGGTGTCTGTGTATATATATGTCTGGTGTCTGTATGTGTGTATGTGTGTCTGGTGTCTGTATATGTGTGTGTGGTGTCTGTGTATATATATGTCTGGTGTCTGTGTGTATATGTGTGTGTCTGGTGTCTCTGTATGTGTGTTTGGTGTCTGTGTGTGTGTGTGTGTGTGTGTATATATATATATATATATATATATATATATCTGGTGTCTGGAATGTATGTGTGTCTGGTGTGTATGTGTTTGTGTCTGATGTCTGTATATATGTGTCTGGTGTGTATGTGTGTCTGGTGTCTGTATATGTATGTTTGGTGTCTCTGTCTCTGTGTGTATGTGTGTTTGGTGTCTGTGTATATGTAGTTTTGGCTCAGGAGATAAAATACCTGTTACAAGCATGAGGATCTGAATTCGGCTACCCAAGCCCATAAAAAAACTGATGTGGCCATATGCTTTTGTAAACCCAGTGCTGGGCAGATAGAAATGGACAGAGTGCTGGAGCTCACTGGCTTCCAGATGCACTTACACACACATCTACCCTCACACATCCACCCCCACTCACGTTTTGTGGGCAGCTAAGGAAAATTAAATATGCATAATAACTTAGTCACTGTTCTATTGCTGTGAAGAGACACCATGACATTGCAGTTCTTATAAACGAAAGCATTTACTTGGGGCTGGCTTACAGGTCAAAAGTTTAGTCCATTATCATTATGGTGGAAAGCATGCTAGCATGCAGGCAGACAATGCTGGAGAAGTAATGTGAGAGTTCTCCATCTGGATCTCAGGCAGCAGGGAGAGAGACACTAAGCTTGGCTTGGGCTTTTGAAACCTCAAAGCCCACCCCCCAATGCCTTAGTTAGAATTTTTATTGCTGTGATGAGCATGACCACAGCAACTCTTATAAAGAAAACATTTAATTGGGGTGGCTTGCTTACAATTTCAGAGGTTCAGTCCATTAATATGACAGGGAACATGGCAGTTTGTAGGTGGATATGGTACTAAGCTGAGAGTACTACATCTTGTAGGCAACAGGAAGTTGACTGATTCCCCCGGCAGTATCTTGAGCATAGGAAACCTCAAAGCCTACCCCCCACAGTGACACACTTCCTCCAACAAGGCCATACTCACTGTAACAAAGCCACACCTCCTAGTAATGCTACTCTGTGAGATTATGGGGGCCAGTTGCATTCCAACTACTACACCCAGTGACACACTTCCTCCAACAGTGCCATATCTACTCCAGTAAAAGCGCACCTCCTAATCCCTCCCAAGTAGTGCTGATGACCTTCCCTGATGACCAAGCCTCCCAAGTTCTGGGATTAAGGACATGTGTAATTAATTATAATTTATAAGACAAACAAACAAAAAACCCAAAACAAAATGAGAGGAAGGAAAGAAGATAAATCATGGCAGAATATTCAGTGGTGGAGCCTTTTATGTGTATACTAGTAATGTACTGAAATTATTTATAGACCCTTTTGGTTAAATACTTAAGATATCTGGGCTAGAGAGATGGGTCAGCAAGTAAAAAGGCACCTGTCACCAAGCCTGATGACCTGGTTCATTCCTAGGACCTCCATGATGAAACGAGAGAGCTGACTTCCATGAATCGCACTCTGACCTCCATACACTGTTGCACATGTTCACCCACATACGTTGAGACAAACACACATGAATTAAAATGCTTTTTAAATTTGAACAATAATCATATACATTGTTTTGCATCTGAGGTAATTTGGAAACACATTGCCAAATATACTTATTCATTCTGTCTACTATTGCATGACTCTGCCTGTGATCTGGGTCACAGTAAAAATCTGTTTTTTTTTTTTTCCTGTCGAACTTGTCTCTACTTAACTCACTGATGAGATGTGTATAGTTACTTATCTCTCTCTCTCTCTTTCTCTTTTAGTTTTCAAGACAGGGTTTCTCTACTGGGAGATGGTGGTGCACATCTTTAATCCCAGCACTTGGGAGGCAGAGGCAGACAGATCTCTGTGAGTTCGAGACCAGCCTGGTCTACAAGAGCTAGTTCCAGGACAGGCTCCAAAACCACAGAGAAACCCTGTCTCGAAAAATCAAAAAAACAAAAAAACCAAAACAAAACGTGGTTCTCATGAAGAAATTTGGCTTTCATGAAAGTGTTTATAAGAAACTTACAGTCTATAATATCAATTAGATGCCTTTTTCCACTCAGGGTAAGCCCTAGCAGCAGAGAAATGGGACAGGAGACCAGAATTACTGCAGGAAATTGAATGCTGAGAGTTCCTTTAGTCCTGAGGCTGATGAATCCTGTTTTGTGGTTCCTGGAATTTGGAGGTTGATTCTGCATCTGTCCCTTCTCTGCAGCAGATATTCTTTGAAGTCTGACAAATTACATGGAATTTTGCAGTCTTTCAAACAATGGCGAGTGGCTGCAGAGCCACTTACTGTAGATGGCGGAAGTACTGTCTAAATGAAACATAAACTCATTGCTATATTCACTAATCTAAACATGCTCTTATCCTTTTTTTTTCTTTAAAAGATTTATTTATTATGTATACAGTGTTCTTCCTGCGTGTATGCCTGCAGTGCAGGCCAGAAGGATGCATTGTAGATGGTTGTGAGCCACCATGTCATTGCTGGGAATTGTATGTAGGACCTCTGGAAGAGCAGCCAGTGCTCTTAACCTCTGAGCCATTTCTCCAGCCCCTTTCCCTTTTCTTAATAGGTATATTGTCTTTGATCTCTGCATAGAAACTAGTATGTATAATAAGGAAGTGACAGAAAATTTTATCTCACTAACTTTAGTTTACTTAAAGAGTATACGTATTTCCTCTAAGCCACTAGATTAATACTTAAGCTGCCTTAGTCCCCTAGATTAAAGAGCAAGTGTATGGAACGGCTGCAGCCACCCATTCAATATGAGGATGTTCATACCAACCCTGACCAGGACTGCTGCCTGCTACAGGTTACCACCCTCAATTTCATCTTTGTTCCTATTGTCATGGGAATGATATTTACCTTGGTAAGTGGGGATTCAGCTCTTTTATAGATTTGCATTGTATCTGTAGTTTGAAAAGGGATTTGTAGATTTAACTATTGGGAAGAAATCTCTGAAGAATAATAAAGCCAGAAATTAAAACCAGAATAATACACAGGTATTCTCCCCCTTCAAGTGACTGTACACATACCAAAACCAAAGTAAAACTCACAAAAGAAAAAAAACCCAAACACTTCCCAGATAAAAACAAAACAAAAAGTCTGAAATCAGATTTGCATATTACAAAGACAGATATGGGGAGAAGCTAATTATATCTAAGGGTGTTTTGCCTGTCTTCTGTAAGAGAGGGAAGGATTTCCCATCTTCCTGGATGTGCAGTGATCATAATGGTTGAGAAATGATATCTTGAAGGAGCATTGAGAAACACATACGAGCACTGTCAGGACCTTGGGCGTTCATGTGCTTCCTTAATGGAATATTAAAATAGATAACTAACTTTGTCCTTGTGATGCTCTGATTCTTTAGAACGTGGCCAAAGTTAGAGGAGTAAATCCTGTAGCTTATACTTTGTTTTAAAAATGCGGCCAGAAAGTTCATTTTATTTGCCATTTGTCTTCTATGTGACTTATCATCAGAGATGTATGGAGTTCTTCTCTATGATGAAAAAGCTTAATTTTTTTTAATGATAGGTATTATATATCATGAAGAATTTAACTAATACATAAATTTATTGGAAAGTAGATGTGACTTAGACTGCCACTCTCCTATAACTACAGTTGACCTTCTGGGGATGTTTCTAAAGTGTGTCTGTTTATATGTTCAAGTATGCATCTTCTTGTAGCCCTTTTCCCTCCTTTCATGGTAAGCCACATTGATGACCTCACTGTTAACTCATATTCTGTATATGCTGCACTAGTTCTGTATAAACTTGCATATAACTACTTGGAGGTCTTTTGGTGTATTTTCCAAAAAAATGAGGTCAGGCTGAGGTTTCATGTATTAGGTTTCACGCTTGACTTTTTCATCAGTATCTTACCAGAATGCCATCTTTATCCTATATGTATAACACATTAAATGGCTTTGTGGTAGAATGTGTGCATATATCTTAAGTTTTTTTATCTGTAAGGCCCTTTAACACAAAGAATAAAAACCCTCATAAAAATCATCCTGAACCTTTTATATCATTACAAATGTATTGATATCATAAAAGAGATGAACCTTGAGACTGAACCAAGGTGTATTGTGTGTAGACCAAATCAAGGAGAGCCCAAAAGAAACCAAGGGTTAATTAGATACTAACCATATTTTAATTTCATTAGATGCTGACTGTGCCTTTCTCTCGTAGTTTACTATTAATGTGAGTACAGACATGCGGCATCATCGAGTGAGATTGGTATTCCAGGATTCTCCTGTTCGTGGTGGTCAGAATCTGCGCAGTGAACAGGGTGTGCAAGTCGTCCTGGACCCAGTACACAGTGTTCGGCTCTTTGACTGGTGGCATCCGCAGTATCCATTCTCCCTGAGAGCATAGTTACTGCTTCCCATCCCTTGGGACAGCTCCCATTCTAGTCCGAGTCTGTAATCAGATTCTGTTGGAGGGGCAGCTGGATTGTATATCTGATTAGTGATGCACATGCTGTTGGGATCCTGGGACTCCTATTACAGGAGGTGGAAAGGTTGAATCAAGAGGAAAAACACCTATGATTTATAAACATTTTCATGTAAAATTTGCATATTTGAAAGGAGAAACCCGGCCTCATTTTTTGTGTTAAACCCCAGTTGGTGCTGTTGAGCTTGTTCTTTATTTCATCTCAACAAAAATGGATGAGCTTGCGCCAGGGAAAAATTAGACACTTAACTTTTCAAGCAAGGAAATTTTCCCTTGTGGATTGCAGGAACCCAGAGGTTTAAAATGGTTGCTCCATTGTTGCTGCTCCTCAAATTCAAGTGAATATTTTTTCTTTTCCCTTTACCCTTCTCCAGAAATAAAGCAGGCGACAGGGTTGTCAGAATCTTACAAGATTGACTTGTGCATCTTTTAAAAAAATGTTTTTTGGATATTTATTACATGAATATTGATTGTTTTGCTGGTTTTGTATTTTGGGTTTTTGCTTTACTGCATGAGACTGATAGTGATGGTAATGATTATGTGCCCCTGGTACTGTCCTAAGAGCTTTATATATTGTGTCTCTAATCCTTGTGTCTTGCAAGGTAATTGAAATCCTTCCCATGTTATGGTTGAGAAGCTGAATCATTTGAATCATTGACTTACCCAAGGCCAGAACTGCTTATCCCTGCAGAGTGAGGATTCTGACCCATGTCTTTTTTGCTATGCCACAACTCCAAAGGCCAGCCATTTTTCTTGTGGTACATAGTGTTAAAAGGGAGTGGGCAGAATGTGATAAATAAAAAAGTAAAGAATGAGTTAGTTTGACTCTTTCAGATAGACATGCATTAGCTGAAAGGTAAAACACAGTTTAGGAAGAATTGTGGTGTTTGCATTAAACTATTAGAAAGCCTTTATGCTAAAGGTCATTTTCAAAAAAAAAAAAAAAAAGCATTGCATGTTGAAACCAGCCTTAAACTAGAAGCAATTAGTGGCTTTTCTCTGCCCTGTCTGGTACTTTGCAACCTTTGTTTTTGTTTTAAAATCATCCTGTGTGCTTTCAGGAGCCTGGTCTTCTGCCTGTATGGGAACATTGGCATCCTCCTTTGGTCAGTCTCTTGCTGTCACTGGTATGCTCTGAGAAAAGGATCATGGGTGGGTTTTTGTTTATTCTTTTGCTAAGAAGAGAACCTTGTTTCCTTTTCCCACCTTGATGTGGCAGGAGGTAGGCAGTAAGACAATATCCTTACACTCAAAATTCTGAGTTAAACCCCTTGCACAGCAGTCCAGCCTCCCTGCCCCACAAAAAGGAGACTTCTTGAGACAGGGTCTTGCTATGTAGCCCAGGCTGGCCTTGAATTTAATCCTTTTACGATAGCTTCCTGGAATGTTGGGAAGACAATATTCTTTAAACATAAAATTATTGTGGGGTGAAACTACTGTGAGCTAAACTGCTAAGTTAGTGTGTTGTTTTTATCACTCCCACCCATGCTCGGAAAAGAACTTTCTTAAGAAGCATCTGTTTAAGACTGTTTCTGACAGCTAGCCTTACCCCACACTGAGGTTCGGGAATACTAACATTGGTTGATCAGAAAGTGAGCCTGGGTCAGTAAAAAAGACAACCAGAATTTGGGTACTTAACAAAAACAAACAGAAACCCAAGGGCAATGAGCCCTTTACAGATCTCTGCGATCAAAAGTTGTCTCTTTAAAGCAGAAAAAAAAAAGAAGCACAGTCTGGAGTCCTTGAAAAAAACGATGCCCTGGACAGGGGGATGTTGTCCTTGTGGGTGTGTGTCTCCCATTTAGGTTTACTTCAGGGGTGAAATAAATGTGGCTTAATAATTGTTGTCTGGCTCAACTTCTGAGTTCTTGTGCCAAACTCCATAGTATGATCATAGATACTATATTCTGCCTTTGAAGTTACTGCCTCTGCTGTTTTCTTAACACATTGCCAACACTTGGTAAAGTGATTTTTCATGGTTGCCATAGCTTCAGCCTTCTCAGCATTGACTGAGTTGCCTTTTCTGGCATTGTTCATGTTTTGTTAATTACAGGATCTGAAGAGTCTCAAGGATTGCCTTTTGGTAAGCATTAGACCACCAGGAGGACAATTGGAACTTTGTAGACTCTAGGTCTAAAAACTAATAATTTTTGCTTCTTGAAATATGTATATATTTATATACGTATGTTATAGATGTACATATATAGATGTATATACAAATATGCTATATATGTACATACATGTACATATGTATGATATATACATGTTATCTCTCTCTATATATGTTCTTGCTCAAAGGGTCAAAAAAAGAATACAAGTTTAGCTTCTCCCAAACCCCATCGGAATTACATTTCCTTGCCTTTCTTTAAAGATGCAAAGACTATGTTGAATATATTGGGAGAAAGTGAATGAAAGGCTGTTAACTGATCCCAGCTACAGCCTTTATAGACATTGCTGTTGCAGGATGTGCATAGATCTGTAACTGCACATTGCATGTATTCAACGGTTCTTCACTGCTGGGCCCTGGTTGCTCACGCCAGCACTTGGGAGATGGAGGTACAGACAGGTGGATCTGAGTTCGGGTCAGCCTGGTCTACAGAGTGAGTTCCAGGTCAACCAGGCTATACCGGTTTACAGAGTGAGGGGGCTGCACAGAACCCTGTCTCGAATCTCCCCCCCCCCCAAAAAAAAACCAAAACCAAACAAACCCCACACCCACGACCAGTACTTCACACTTATAACAGTGCTTATGGGGTATTTGTAAAGGATTTGAGTAGGCACTGTAAGGAAACTTCACAAACCAGATGGGAAAGATACATTAATAGCCACGGGGGCAGGGAAAGGGAACAATTCAGGAAAATCGGTTTAGCTAAAATCAGAATTTTGGCATATGAGCGTGTTTTCATAGGATGTATGTATCATAGACAACACTTCATTTTATAGTAACAGTGCTAGGACAGTCACATGCCTAAAAGCAAGTCATAATTTACTGCAGCACATACTATAAGAGTAGCTGGGTTTCTAGTGTCTCCATTTAAAGACGTGTGGGAGAGAACAGGTGTGAAAGGTGACAAATGGCTGGCCATTTAGGGAAGAGGTTAGACTTGGGAAGGTGGATTCAGGGGTTAGAAGCGGTAGGCTGTGCTCTGCATTCTCAGTCCTGAGGCCTAAACACCTACCAGATTAAATGCTGGCCCTGCCCTCTCAGGCCCAACCAAGATGGCGCACAGCATCAAAGCAGCGCCCTCGTCACGTGTGAACCCGGTCTAGGCAGCGCCCGGGTGTGGGGGGCGTGGCCTTGGGAGAGGCGGCCTGGCCCCGCCCTTAGGGGGTGGGTCCGGGGTATCCACGGAGGAAGGGGGCGGGTCCTAGAGGCCGGGTACTAGGCGGCGGAGGCTGCAGCTACCTTTGAGCGCTTGCCTCTAGGACGCCTGGCGCTGCCGAGGTCGGGGGCGGCGCCCTGCTGCCGCTGGGCCTTCCGCGATTCCACGCAGGTGAGCGCCCACAGCCCACTCCGCGGGAAAGGATTCCCCTTTCCCCAGCTCCAGCTCCCCTGCACAGTTTGAGGAGGAGTCTCTGTTAGTGCGCCTTAGGAAACAGCCTCTTCTGGTCTGGATGTGTCTCTGCGGGGCGCGGGTTTCGTCGCCCCTCGCCTTTCCTGTGCTCTGTGCCCTTGGGGATGAGGATGGGGGTCGATGCCCATTTTGCAGGGAGGGCGTGGAGTTCTTCCTCAGTTCCATCGGCTTCCTGGGAGGGGGCAGCCGGGTAGACTGCGCCCCCACATCCTCTCCAGGAGTCAGAGCAAAAGCGCGTCTGGGCTTGGGGGCCAACTCTGCTCCTTTGGGCGAGCGCTTGTGAGGCTGAGGTCTTCTTCGTTCCTCCCGGGGGTCTTCATCCTCCCTGCGTGCCTCTTTACGCCCTTGGTAACTATTGTCAGCTCTGCATTCCTGGAACTGTCAGGGTGTCAGCCCGTACCAGAGATGCCCCCCATCTCCGCAGTGCTGGGGCGGTGGGGTGGAAGGAATGGCCAGCCCGAGGCCAGGGTGGGGGTGGGGATAAGGGTGGGCGCAACAGGAAAAGACGTTCGTTATAGAGATTCCTAAACTGGTGTGGGTTGGGGGTGAGGGGCTGGTTAGTGAACACAGTAGGGGTATTTCCCAGCAAGCTTATTGAAGCTTTTATGGCGGGTAGGAAGGGAGGTCGGGCTGGAGGACCTGGATATGTGTTGTAGGTGGTTTCTTTGAGAAGGAGGAGGGATCTAGGACTAAGTGCCACTAGGTGCTGATGTCACCTTTGAAGAGAGATGTGTTGGAGAGGAGGGAGAGTTGAGGCAGCTCTTCAGTACTTGTTCGTGGAGAGCAAGTGGTTAAGGGGGCTGTGCTTAGCCTGATGATTCCCTCCTGGGGTGAGCTGGAGGAGGCTGCTCCTGGAGCCAGGTTTCAGGGATTCCCTGCAGCCCTTTCCAGAGTTGGGATTGGCACTTGGCACTTTGTTCAATATCGAGTAAACATTTATTGGGCACCTACTACGTGCCAGACACCTTGCTAACTACTTGGTCATCCAAAGCAGTTTAGGACCATGGAGCAAGTGAATGATAGCCGAAGTAGCACAAGTATTAGGCACTATCCTCCCGTGTATAATTTAGTTACACTGCTAATTGACAGGGAAAACAAAACAAAACAAAACAAAACCACCCCTACAACAAAAAGACCCCAACTGGATTTCAACCCGCAGAACCCCTATCACCACGTTAGCTGGTCATATAGCATTAAGTAAAAAAAGCTTGAATGATTTTCATTGGCTATTTTCTTAGATTTTGTGCTAAGGTTTGAGGAGGCTTCCCGAGATAAATGATGTCTCAAAGTAATGAGATGAGGGACAGCACATTGGTTATTAGGGCTGTGAGGGCCTAGACACTGTGCAGTAGGAGACACTGTCTCCGGAAAATGTGTGGGTATGGGCGATTGCCATGAGGGGAGTTCTCATCTGGAGGTGTTTGGGTCTGTGCTGCTGAGTATGACATGATGGAAGTATATGGGCTCTGCCCAGCGACTGGCTTGTGAAGGAAGGAGCAGAGGGACAGAGTAGGGGCAGGCGGGCTCTTGGGTCCCTTCTGAGTTGATGGCTGAAATCTTAGCACTGGAAGGAGTTTATGAGGTTTGCTGTGGGATCTTTCTGAGCCTCCGAGGATAGTAAGATGGGATAGATAGCTGGGGAGAAGATGGGTAGTTGGCCTGGGAGGGTGAAGGCTCAGAAGGGCCAGGCAGCTGGGTACCAAAGGAGCTCTAAGAGATAGGATAGTTAGCAAGGCCTTGCTACGCCAGAAAGACTCTCCCCGGGCCTCAGAGAGCTGTGTTGTATGAAGTTGGTAGAGGATTTGCTTTATGAACAAGGTGTGCCGTGCTGACTGAGCAGCGCAGAGAGGCTGTGTGTGTGTTCACCTGCCTGGTGTGCATGTGTGTGCTTGTGCAGATGTGTGTGCTGGAAATGAGGAGTAAGGAAGACTGAGAGAGAAAAATCCGCCAGAGTACCACATATGGGTCCCACATAAGAAACCGGAAGAAATGGAGAAGAGGGAGTGGGGTCAGACAGAGGGAGAGACAAGTGTGTATTGCAACCACGTAAGTCACCATCTGTCCCCCTAACCCCCCCCCCCCCCCCCCGCCTGCTAGCTCACTGATCTATAATTAGCTCTGGAGGGCATACGGTGCTGGCTCACAGGAGTGTGGCACTTGGGGTGGCCAGCAGAGTAAAGAACCCTCAGAGGGGCTGTGGTCCTGTGCTGAGGACCGTGTGCCCAGGACCGCAACCTGTCCGAATTCTTCAGTCTGAGAAGGGCTCCGTATTGCTGAAGTGGGAAGGGGCCTTAAGGAACTGAGAATGTCAGTGAGGTAGAACTGGTAGGGGAACAGTGCTGGCACAGGGCTCTAAGGGAGAATTATATGAGAGTTGAGGCCGCTTCTAGCCCAGGGCAGCAGCGTGCCTTTCAGTTAGGGACTGAGAGGCCTCGGCTTCGGGTCACTTTCTCTGAGAGCTTCAGTTGCTCCTCCTACTCCAGAGGTGATGCTCAGCGCTGACCCCAGGCTAGACCCCAAGCTGCTCAAATGCTACCCTGTATGGGATTCTCCCAAGAAGCCTGTGATGGACCTTATGCGTTTTCTCTACCTGTAACAGTACTCTTTGAGTGAGTATTGAATTGAAGTCATCCGTCGTCTGGTCCCCTGGGTTCTGTGAAGCTGGATCTCCTTGCAATTAAGATATTTAACTTGCAGCAGAGAAGTGTTGGGGTGCAGTACCACACTGTTACATTTCGTTGGGCGAATTGGCAGTAGATGACATGGAAATTCCTAAATCTGTCATAAAGTAGAATATTTAGGTTTGGGTTCATGACCTTGAATGATACAACAAATGTATAGATATGGTACAGCTTATATATACATATTTTATTAATTATTGAACTGTGTAACATGTTATTGTATGGCAATTTAAAAAAGCACTCAAATAATTTTTAAAAGTTTAAAAAATTTAAATTTATTGTGTGTGGGTGCTTTGCTTGTATGATATAACTATGTACCAGGTGTCCCTGGTGCCTGTGGAAGCAGAAGGTGGCATTGGATACCCCAGAACTGGAGTATAGATAGTTGTTAGCCGCATGTAGATGCTGGAACTTGAACGTGGGTCCTCTGGAAGAACAGTCAATATTCTTAACCAATGAACCATCTCTCCATCCTCCTGAAATGTATGCATACAAAATATATTTTATTATTTATTTATTTATTTATTTGTGACAAGGTCTCTCTACATAGCCCTGGTTGTCCTGGATCTCACTATGTAGACCAGGCT